AATGTCGTTTTTGTTTTTAATTTTTGGATGATGTTTTATCCACAATATCCCTGTAGCAGATATAGATTACAGTCAGACAGGCATTTGTCCTGCTGTTTGGTGTGGCTTGGGAATAGTCTGCTTCATTCCTTTCTTTGTTGATAGTATTATTTTAGTGATATTTAAAATTACTGTTTAAATTGTCTTGCAAAATGGTTTGAGTTACTTGGTGATCATGAAGTTTGCCACCTACAGGTTAATGAACTTGTGTGCAAAACAATTGAATCGTAATAATAAATAACATTAAAATAATACTATCAAGACTAATAAATATGCTCACAAGAAAGAGGGAAAACCTAAATCATTCAGCATGCCTACAGTGTAGTTTAGTGGATAGAGTGACAAACTAGGACCCTCGAGAAGAGCTTTCAAATCCCCAATTGACATGGAAGCTCACTGAGGGAATGGAACTGGTAAAAACACTCCTTAAATATTTCACTTACCTTGAAAACCCTATTAGGGTCCCTACAAACAGGTTCCAACTTGATACATGCACACACACTTTTCCTGGCTATTATTGTCCTCTATTTCTTTGCACTGTTCATTTTAGAAGGCCCTCTTGTCTCTCCTTGCTATTATTTGGAAGTCTGCATTCACTTTTCTGTAACTTTCCCTGTCTCCCTTGCATTTTGTTTCCCTTCTCTTCTCTGTTATTTGTAAGACCTTGTTGGACAGCCACATTGCTTTCTTGCATTTCCTTTTCTTTGGGATGGTTTTTGTTGCTGCCTTCTCTACAGTGTTACAAACATCCATCCATAGTTCTTCAGGCACTCTGTCCACCAAATCTAGTTCTTTAAATCTGTTCTTCACTTCCACTGTGTATTCATAAGGGATTTGGTTTAGATTATACCAGTCTACCCCAGTGGTTTTTCCTACTTTCTTCAGTTTAAGCTTGAGTTTTGCTATAAGAAGCTGATGATCAGAGCCATTATCAGCTCCAGGTCTTTTATTTCTGACTTTATAGAGCTTCTTAATCTTTGGCTGCAGAGAACATAATCAATCTGATTTTGGTATTGCCTGTCTGGTGATTTCCATGTGTAGAGTCGCCTCTTGTGTTGTTGGAAAAGAGTGTTTGTGATGACCAGCTTGTTCTCTTGACAAAACTCTATTAGCCTTTGCCCTGCTTCGTTTTGAACTCCAAGGCCAAACTTTCCTGTTGTTCCTTTTATCTCTTGACTCCCTACTTTAGCATTCCAATCCCCTATAATGACAAGAACATCTTTCTTTGGTGTCAGTTCTAGAAGGTGTTGTAAATTTTCATAGAATTGGTCAATGTAAGCCTCTTCAGCATCGGTGGTTGGTGCATAAATTTGGATTACCGTGGTGTTGAAAGGTCTGTTGAAATGGGAAACACTATCCAATGGTAAATCCCATGCTGTGTGTGCAGAAGATCCCAGGTTCAATCCATAACTGTAGAGTGGGAGAGGTAACTGAGATCTTGAAGAGTTGCTGTTATCCATTTCATACACCCATCTTTTCATCTCCTGTCTTGCAGCAGTGAGAAAATTGACTGCCCAGCCTCCGTAACACTGCGCCTAGGCCCGAAAAAGGACCGTCTGGTGGTGACTGAGGCCAAGCTGGAGCACAACCACCGCCTGTCAGAACTGGAGTTTGCCCACCACTTCAGAAGGCACCAGCTAATAGCCAGCCTGGGCTTGCCTATCCGTATCACCAACAGTATCTCCAAACGCTTTCTGGCACCTGACCTTATCTGGAACCTAGAGGACTATAGCAAAGCAAAAGACAAGGGCATGTGTGAGCTCCTGGCTGTTCTGGATGGGCTCTTCAAGGCAGATGCAGGTGCCAAGGTGAAGCTGGTGTTCCAGGAGGATGTGGCAGTCCTCAACAGCATCTTCTTGGCCACTTCACATATGTGCGAACTCGTGCAACGCTTCCCTGCCCGCCTTTTCCTGGAACGCGCTGCCTGCCTCAACGCAGACTTTGACCTCTATACAGTGTTGTGCCAAGATGGCAATGGACGAGGGCGTGAGGTGGCCTATTGTCTAGCCCGCCAGGAGCTGCCTGACCTCCTCGTCTTCATTGTGGCCTCATTAGTTCAGAGTGTCCCAGATATTAAGTTGCAAGTAAAGGTGGTCACAGTTGGAGCTGACGTGACAGGCTTTGATGCAGTAGAGGAAGTGCTGCCACGGGCCAGGGTGCAGATCTGCCGCCTGCAGGTCTTGGAGGCCCTCTACCGCAAGGCTTGTGACCTGGCTGTACCAAAAGGGGACCAGATCCGCAATTTGCTCCTTAACATGTCAAATGCCAATTCACCAAGGATCTATACCCAGTACCTGAGTTACTTGGAAGATGTTGCCCCATTGTCTTTTTTGCAGTACTTCCTGGAATGTTGGCACCCTCACAAAGGCATGTGGGTAGAGTGCTGGGCCTTTAAAAGAAAACAAGAGTGCTCCTTCCTGGACCACCTCAGTGCCCATCGCCGGAAGCTTCTGATGGTACTCAATCCACCTATAGCACTGCCTGCATGTGTCCAGGGCCTGCTGGATCTCCAGGCCCTGCATGTAGAGGCAGCAACACTCAATGTGGCACCTGTGATACAGCTGTATCACACCACCTGCCTTCCTGATTCTGTTGATTTGGTGGCTGAAGAACTGGACCTAGTGCCCCATGTGCACTATAAGCTCAAGGACACCTCTGATGGGTACCTCCTGGAAGGGGACACCTGCTCCTTCCTGGTGAGCCAAGATCTGGCCACTTGTAGCTGCTCCATCTACATAGCTCACCAGCTGCCATGCCGACACATCTTCACTGTACGCCTTTGGGTGGGAGAGCCTCTCTTTGACCCCAGCCTGCTACCCAGCTCACGGGGCACACTGCAAAATGCCATGGGGCAGGAAGAAGGCTAACTATTGCCCCTGCATCATACACATTGAACAGGGCTGCACAGGCCTGGTGTCTGCCTAGAGCCACTGCCTCATTTTGATGCAAAAAAGGTGCTACTTTCTTCATACTGTCATTCATCTTTGGGTAGAAGTGGCCCTAGTGTGAGGAAGTAGATAGACAGATTGTTGACCACTTTCTGAAGAAGTAGCCCGTGTCAGAAGAAGGTAGATAGATTGTTGACCAGTTTCTGAAGAAGTAGCCCGTGTCAGAAGAAGTGGATTTTGATCCTGGAAAAGATCCCACTGAAAAAAATATGTTAGATTTGAAATTGCCATTAGATACTTGACTTTTCTTATAATTTTGCTGAACTAATTTCTGACTAGTCATAAAGGGGAAAGTTAGCAGAGCATACCTGTAAATGCGGGATTGCTGGGTGCTAAGAAACATTGCCAATTACTATGGCACTGGGTACTGTAAGCCTCCAGAAAGTCTAGAGGAAAGGGAACAGAAACAGATGGAATGCAGTTTTGGGGACAATTTCTGGGATCCACTTAATGCTTCAAAGAGTTCACTCAGATGCCCTCAGATAAATACAGACAGTTCTTGTGGGGGCTTTGGCTTCAGCATTGATGCATTCTGGAAATCAAAGCACAACATCCTGCAGCTAGGATGACCAGATGTAGGCAATATTCAGTGGGCAGATTAAGCTGAGCAGCCCTGTGAAAATGATCAAAATTTTGAACAAGGAAGAAAAAAGTTGGCTTCTATACAGATTGGGCAGTATGAAGCTTGACCCTACGTGACATTAGGTGCAGTTAACTCTGAAATCTGTGGCCCAATACTGCCTAGAATCAGGCTATCATGGACAATTGCTTATTCTGCATCATTTATTCAGCTTCCACTAATTATGAGAAGAGGTAAACAGTTGTGCAGGGTACCAGAATTAACATCTTTCTATTATTGGTTTTCTCACTATTCTCTGAATAGTATACTCACATATACTGAAATGCTCTCACATTTCATGTGCTGGAGTCTGTGCCCTTTATCAGTTTTGGTAGCTATTGGATACAGATAACATTAGGAAGAAACAGCTCATCTGAACAAACAAAGGTTATCCCATGCTGTTTAATTATCTAATTCAATGAACCCACTGATTTGAGTCCTGTTCCAGATTGCTGTATATTAGGATTTAATGAGGAGGGGAGGTCAGAGGTTAACACAGTAGTTCCTCACACATTACTTAACAATTACAGCTGGGAAGGGTGTGTATGAAGATAGTGTGCTATTCCTTGCAGAGCTTAAATCCTAAAGAAGAAAACTTAAACAGACTTTCAGACTTGAGCATAAACACAACATCTGCTAAATGTTTCATTCACATGCACAGTAGTGCAGTTTGAATGAAGTAGTGCTTGAGCAAGGCAAAAGCATTTTACATTAAATACAAGTGGAACCCCGCATGACAACGATAATCCGTTCCAGGAAAATCGCTGTTAAGTGAAATTGTCATCATGCGAAAAGCCTTTCCCCATTGGAATGCATTGAAACTTGGTTTAATGAGTTTCATTGGGGAAAATACCTTGTCGTCCAGCAAAGATCGCCTATACAGAAGCCATTTTGTGAGCACCAATCAGCTGTTAAAATATACAGAAGCCATTTTGTGAGCACCAATCAGCTGTTAAAATGCCTGCGAAGCATGGGTCCAGAAACACAGGGCAGCCATTTTAGGAAGCCGACGATTGTTGGGGGGAAAATCGTCATCTTGCGAATAAACGATCCGCGAAGCACGGACCAAATCGTCAAGCGGAATTCCCCCAAAGGAATGACTGTTTTGTGAATCGCTATAGCGATCGCAAAAAGTCACCGTTGTGCGGTTTCGTCGTACAGCTGGGTCGTCGTCTAGTGAGGTACCACTGTATTTCCTATGTCTACATGAATAGATGGCTCCAATGTGGACAGTGTCAAATGTAACCTAGAAATAGTTTCCTAAACTTATATGGAACAAAATATGTAAGTTCAGAACGGAATACAAGATAGATGGCAATTAGTTTGGAGTTGAGGTACAATACAATCCTATGTATGTCTACTCAGATGTAAGACCCATTGAGTTTATCAGGACCTGCTTGTTAAATGGGTGAAGGGTCACAGCCGGACAGATTATCCAGTACTATAGCATTGATATGCTTTGAGTCAGGACTCTTCACACAGCATCTGTGGCTGTATAGGGTTTTGAACCATTTTGTGTTTCTACTTCCAAGTACAGAACACAGTGCTGAAATGTCTGAATCAAAATATATTACAATCATAAGACCTAAGGCCTCCTTTCCATTAAAAAAAACACATAGAAACTGGGTAGAGTGGGGCTTTGTTTGTTTTTCTTTAATATGCCAGTATTTATGCCATCTAAAACCCACAAATTGAAATTAACAGTGAATTGTGTTTTCCTTACTGTATCCTGCCTTACAAACAGCTCTGTATTGAAGCTAGAGCTTTCAGTGATCTGTCTTTCCCCTGGGGCTTTGGGGCTTTTCCCTCTCTGTAGCTACTGTCAGTAGGAGAGGGAGGTTGGGTTTAGATAAAAACTAGTATAGGCTGTTTGTTGATAAGAATCTGCATTGTTGATACACTGTGTGCAAAGTTTACTACATCACTCTTTATAACTAGATGGCATATCCCAACATATCACATAGAGATAATCCATGGTGGCTAGGCCACCTGGATGCTAAAAATTGGCAGATACATGAAATATGTTGAAATGAAAAATATACGTATACAGCAAATAAGAATACCAATGCATTGTTCTTAGTCCATGTCTGTTCCTCCAGCTCAAAACTACAGTTTATATAAGCCTGGAGACGTCGCCACCTTTTCCTGGCTCTTGGCAAGATTCTTATGAAGGAAGATACTGTATCATTACTTCCAGATTCCCCATTAATGTTATCACTCTCTGGGCAGTTCACAACATACTGTACAATAAAAAATGCCATGTAAAAAGTACAGTAATTTACAACAAACCCTATTGCTAGCTAAAACAATGAACCTATCTTTAAACAGAAATACACAAAACCAATTTGAATATCTCAAGTCAATATTCACACTAGCAGAAGGCAGTTTTATAATTCTATCTTAATTAGCTTCCTAAAAACAAAGAGGGAAGGTGCCTAGCAATCTTCTGTAGGAAGTTTATTCCAGAGGGAAGAAGCCACTATTGAAAACGCTCAGTTCTTAAAAACTAGCTTTTTTTTTTTGCCTCCCTAAGTGTTACAATTCTTAACATCAAGAACCTCCAGGAGTGGTTGGACTGTTCTACCAAATATCCAGATCCTAAACCATTAAGGCTATTATCTAAGCATGGTCTGGCCTCCTTCCCAGTAGATTCCTGTTCAGCTTCTGTGTACAGTATTTAGCAAAGCCAGCTGTGTTAATCCATCAGAACTAC